TCTCGTTGGAGACAATAATAAAAAAAATAAACATGTTGAATTTTCTGAACAGGATGCTCACAAGATGGCTATGAAATTAACAGAATTGAGAAATAGTTAAAGAAGTAAGGTTTATAAGTACCTTACTTATAATATGGACAAAACTGCTATTTAACAACTTTGAATAAAGTAATTTTGAAGCTAACAAAATAATTTAAACAGAACTGAAATTTTATATTTACTGACAAATAAGATGGCGGTAGTTGGAAAACTATTTGGTAAAGAAAAATGAATGAAAACGACTTTAATTGCTATGTGCAATACTACTATTTGTTTGTAATTTGAGGATATGTCCTCAATTTACAATTTTTGTAAATAAAACTTATCCAAAAATAGTTTAAAAGTTAATAAACAAAGTTAAAATAATCACCTGATGCGGACGTTCGGACTGGTGGTTATAAGATATTTCATAGAGAAGCAATACATAGATCACCAGCAATGCATCATAGAATAATGAATAATAGAAACTGATCGTACTGATCATGAGATAATTCATTTGGAAAAATATTAAATATAGCAATTAACATTATAACATTAAAACTTTATCAATAATTAATTTTTGTTGTTTAGAACAAAGCGTTCAAACGATTACTATGATATGAAAAGTTAAAACAATCAAGTACCTGATGCGTACGTTCAGAGTGGTATTTGGAAGATACCATATCATAGAGAAACAATATGAACATTAACAGGAAAGCATAAATCATAGAATAACAATATCTATTGAAATATAATTAATTAAATTAAATTAATCTTTTTTTGAAAATACTAAGAGAAATAAACGTAAAATAGCGTACCGATAACAACAAATTTAAATCGTCCAAAAATTTTCAAAATGCATTTTCTTTTGTTAAAATTTTTTGGCAGAAACATAACCTTATTATTCAACAAAAATAATTAAGTTAGAATAATAGTAAATAAATCTAACATTATTGATAAAGCAGTTCACAACAAAGACCAATTATTATACGACGACCGTATCCAACATGTTAATGAAAATTTGAATTATATTGGTTTTAACTTACTTAATTGCCCCATAGTACACTGAAACTGTAGCACCATAGACAAGAGAGGGAAATGCTTTCGCATATTTGTCTTATCGCTGTTTTTTTAAGTTGGAATTAGAATCTCTTTAACTCTCTCTGTCGCGCAATAGCCATATAAAGTCACAATGGGACCCCACATAAATACACTTAGAAGCGACTTTTATACTACGCACAATGATGAATATGCGATTATGTATAAAACAGCGTTTTAGAGTACTTATACCTATTTATTATTAATAATAAAACGCTCAAATTTACAACGCATTGTTTTATTACATTAAAATTACTAGTTCATCTAATGTATTCTGATACACTCTTAAAAATTGACAAAAATACAAAGAAAATGTAAATTAACCGGATCATCAAACATTAATTTCTTTATTTTCTCTCCATAAACGTTCTGCAACACTTTCTTATCGTTAATTGAATTAATTAGAAGGAAAATACATTGGGCAATTAGGTATCATACAAAAAAATATAAAAAAAAATAACAGAAGTATAATAATAATGACTTACTAAGACTTCGCCTTCAGAAACTCCTTATTTCTTTCTAACATTTCCTCCTTTTTTTCCCTTTTAGCCTTGTCCAGGAATTTGTCCATTTCTTCAAGGTTGGTCTCACTCGGAATGTCCTTTTCTTTCTCTTTATCAGGACTGTTCCTGCCTTCTGTAACAAAAAGAAGCGATAAGAAGGGAAAGACCAGACAAATTGTGAACCAACCGATATTAGTGCTATTTTAAATAAAGCTAGCATTGTACTGTCCTATAAGCCAAGTCTCATTGAAATTTAAAATGATATGCATTTTGTTCTTTTCTTCTGATTGTTAAAATTTGAAATCATTACCACTATTTTTATTTATTGCAGTTTCTCTTGAGCAATATTGTAACTATTAATTCTAGTATATTCTTACCGTTGTTTTCTCCTCCTTTCTCGCTCCATTTACCGTCAAAGGTTTCCCTATCCACAAACTTTTCGTTATTGTAATCATCCCTGTCTTCTCCTTCTGACAAAGGTCCATCATGTCTCGCAGGTTCATTGTTATCATTGTCAATATACTTGTTGATCTTGTCCTTTTCTTCGTTGACCTTCTTCATGGGTTCTCCGCTACGAGATCGATCCCTACTTCCGCTGTAAGACCTGCTGCGGTCCCTAGAACGACTCCTGTCGTATCTGCGATCGCGATAGTCACGATAACCACCCCCACGACCAAATCGGCCTCTTGGTCTCCTTGGAGGTCTGTTACCGTATCGTCCCCGACCACGGAAATCTCTGTAATTATCGCGATAGTCCCTGTAGTTGCCTCTTCCGCCGCGATAGTTACCGCCTCCGCCGCCTCTAGGAGGTAAGCGAGGCTTGTAGTACGTGCCGCGATTGTCGTAACGCCCTCCGCGGAAGCCGCCGCCACGACGGTAACGACGCCTGTCAACTGAATAGCTGCGAGAACGGGAACGACTTCTGGAATAGTAGGAACCCGAACGAGACCTGGAGCGACTGTAATAAGATCTGGATCGGCTTCGGTAACTTCGGGAACGAGAACGGGAACCACTTGACGATCTGGAGCGGCTGTAACGGCGACCGCGAGAACGCGAACGGCTTCTACGGGATGATCTGCTCGCCGATCTAGGACGATCTAGCAAAAAAAAAAACATTATCAAATTCTGAAAGTATAATATACAAAAATATGTCTTACTTGGTGGTGCTCCTGGTGGTAGAGGTGGCAAATCGTCGCCGGTCTCCTGTAATCTCGTTGGAGACAATCTCCTGAAATTACCAAATTTGTCCAGAACAACAGGCCCCGGAGGAACAATCGGTTTCGGTGTAGGCGCTGGAGGCATCGGTTTGACTTTCTTTATCTCCGGCGACTTTTTCGGTGGTAAGGGTTGCTCTTTCATGGCCATCGCTTTGCGTACACTCATGTTCTTTTCAGGAGGTGGAGCCGCAACTAAAACAGAAATGAAAAAATAAATAAATAAAATAATCATCTCTTACCGAGACTACAATATCTTACACTCATAATTATTCTTTTTCATGGGGGACTGTTCTGGAGGTTCGGGCGCCCTGGGCAAGTTAGTCTTGTTCTCTGGGGGCATTCTAGGTAAAGGCGGTTGTTCGTCAGCCCATTCGTCCCGCTCAGTTTTCTTTTTGAATCGTGAGCCGCCGCTAGGTCCGCCTACATTACTTATATGCATTTTCCATTTGGTTGGCGCTCCACTGGCAGTGGCAGAGGCTGTAGCTTCTGCAACTGCTTGACGAGCCTTTTGTTCCCTTGTGGGAGACGGAGAGTCCATTATCAGTGATTTCTTAGGACTCTCGCTCATTTCACTTCTATAAATAATTTAATATATAGTTAATTTAATAGATCCGTTATATGAGAAGTTATCTTACCGTTTCGATTCCTTTTCCAGCGCATAATATGCGTTCAGTTTTGATTCTAGTTCCTCTAGGTCTGGTAGACTATCCAAAAATCTGAACAAGATACAAAGAAAAACTCAAATTAATAAAAACAATAAGACATTTTAGTCAAAAATTTACCTTTTGCTGTATCCAACTTTTTCTAACAAATAATCCTCGTCATCTGAATTAATCCCATGTCTCTTGCTTCTTTTATCCTTAATTCCCAGCTCTTTCTTCAAAACATCCCTTAATTTCTTATTATCGATGTCTTCTAATTCACTCAAATCGAAATGCTTACGCTTTTTCTTCTCCTTCTTGCGTTTTCTACTCTCTTTCTTTGCCTTTTTATCCTTCTTTTTCTTCTTCTTTTTATCCTCACCTTTCTTGTCTTTCTTCCAGCGATGGCTTTCCTCTAAAAACTTACGCACTTTTTCTTCGTAATCGGAATCTCCTTTTGTATGGTCCAAGAACGCGCGTATTTTGGACTCATAATCATCTTGCCCGCTACCCTTTGAGCTTGATGGGGGCAACAGAGACTCACTAATAGCAACCGACGAGGCTTGGTGGTGATGATGATGCTGTTGTTGCTGCTGTTCAAAAGCGAAGTCAAAACTGTTTGAAGCAGGTTTATTGAATTGGTACGAAGCCGGTGTGTCGTGTGTAGGGTCCATCATGGCCATGCGTTTGCTTAAGGGAGAAAGGGAATTCTGTTTTTCACGCCTGTGAGACCTGGATCGGTGCTTCTTTCGTTTTTTGAAGTCCGAATCCCCAGATGTAGAACTTGAGTCACTGCTACTTGAAGATGAACTACTAGAACTGTCGTTACTTGCTGAAGAACTTGAACTCGAACTAGAACTCGATCTACGTCTATTCTTCTTCTTCTTTGACCTTTTCTTCTTTTTCTTTTCTTTTTTTTCTTCTTCCTCTGTCTTTAGGAGTTGCTTAAGGGCATCGTTAACGTCTTGTTTGGGTGCAGAATTGCTTCCCAGACTTGGCAAGAGAAGATCTCCTGGTTCTATCAAATTCTTTGGTTGCGTTTTGTTTTTAAGGAACTCTAAAGAATTCTGTGCTTCTTCATGGTAAGGTATCAAACTTAAGCAGCTCTGGTAGGCTTTTCGAGCTTCGTCGATCTTATTTTCTTCCTCGTAGCTACGACCCAAAGCCACAAGAGTCTCTCCCATGTACTTACGAGCATTAGCATGGCTCGGGTTCAGTTTCAAAGCAGACTCAAAGTCTTCTATAGCTTTTTGGAAGTTTCCACTGTTTGCATATAAAGCTCCACGAGCTACCAGCCCTTCCACATTCTTTGGATCAATGGTAAGGGCTTTGTTTAAACACTGGAAAGCTTCTGTGTGTCTACCAGCCTTGAAATGATCTATACCGTCTGCGACGTTCCTATAGGCCCATTTGCTTGCCTGCACTTGTCTCAATTCAATGGCATACTCATTCTCTGGAAAACGGCCCCTAGGAGATAAAGATTTGTTTCATAAAAATTTTTAAATTACTATTCTAACATACTGTAATCCCTTTAATAACGAAATGTGGCTGTTTATCCCCATCAAATCCGACAGAAAACTGATGTTATTAGGATTATTGAAGCCAATGCTCTTCTCTAAAACGGCGTCAAAGCTTTCGCCCTTATGCTCCAGGGCTTTCCTGAAAAAATGAAAAATTTTCTTATGAAAAGGATGAATGTTGAAGTATCGTCACCGACAAAAATGGCACAACTGTAAGATGAATGAATCTTAACAAACTTTCTGACATCAAGGTGTTTGTGAATCTGGGCGAAACATATTAAGTGGAAGGCTGTAAATATTACATGAGAAAAAAATATATAGTATTTTTCAGTTTTGCCAATATACTTGTTTTATGGGCCCTCCAGTTAATACTTGTGTTAAAAGAAAAACTCTTCAGTCCTTAAAAATGCCAAATTGTATTGAGTAAGATCCAGATCAAAAAATCAATCCCCTTCAATTAACTCCTTTCTTCCATGACGATCAACAGTATTGTGCTTCTTTTCACAAATATTTATCTCATTTCAAATATACCTCCAAGTTTCAAGTTTATTGAAAAACCACATCGTTCTTTCACATTTGCTGCATGGATATCAAATAGTTCATTTTCCTCATTGTGTTAGTTCTTTTTACATATTTTCTCATATTTATATTCCTCTTCTTCTCATGATTAACGATATCCTCCCATTCTTTATTTCCACAAAATCAGTTAAATGAAATTTAAACAATTTGAGTGAAAATTATGGGATTATAGAAACTACATTTTTTCTACTACTCTGTTAATTATCAATTGAACTGTAGATTTCCATAATACCGTAATTTTCATCACACCAGACTCACAAATGAATACACAACAACAATTTGTATACAATAGTAAAAGAAAAACTCTTCACCCAAATAAAGTAAAATATCAAGTATTATGTTAAAAACCTATTAACAGAACTATACAATTTTGNTTTAGAATCATAGGTAGGTAGGTATTTATCGTCTACAGACAGAAGGACGGATGGTGATTTTTATTTTTATTAGTTTTTGAATAGTTATTTGATTTGTTAACGAATTTAAAACTGTGGCAACACACACAAGAAGCAGGACATTTTGAAATAGTTCTGCTAAAAATTTATTTTAATATCAGATGATATTACGTTTGCATCATCCTGCGCCTTTTTCATCCTCAAGACGAACGGATAAGCTAAAAAGTGTTTTTTAAGTCTCACCTGCTGATCATGGATCATCATCAAACAGCACAGTTGTGCAAAGTTGTGCTTAAACACTTGTGTTTGTGCGATACAATAACATTTAATTCGTACTTTTATCAATGGGTTTTGACTGGACGAACACTATTTTTATTATATATAATGCTTACTCCGTAACATAAATTGTATAAACTCTTTATTAAATCTTGCATGTAGCAACCTATAATTAAATAAAACTTAATTTTGCATCATCTGGCGCTCCATTATTCGTTGAAATGTTCGATTCACTTACACAATATTAATCCCCAAAAAACAACGTACAAAACATTAAGATTAAATCATTATTTTAACATATACTGCATATTCTATTTAAGACACACTTATATGTCATATTTTTAAATGTCTTGAAATCACACAAAAAAGCAGATTACAAAACTAGTAGAGGAAACAATGAAAATGAAAATAAGTAAACAAAACATATAGAAATAAAACTGAAATAAACAAAAATTCCGAAAATATCTTAAAAGATGAACTAAAATAAAAACACAGAACTTGGAACTAAATGTGAGACGCAATTGAGAAATTAAGTAAAAACAAATGTATAATGAAAAAAGAAACAATAGAAATAATTGTTTAAGAAATTAGAGATAATGAAATATAAATAGTGTGTCCTAGACAGAATTTAAAGCAAATAAATATGTACTTAGAAATAAATTACAACTTTTTCTAATAAAAATATCAAGCTGCTATTAAAAACGTAATTTTTTGTAAGTGATTGAAATAAATTATGATCCAAGACCTGTAACTAATTAGTTCAAGTATAATTACTTTGTATAATTTAACTTAACAATCACATGAGCTTTTCATTTTTTTACCTGACACTGTAACTACAAAATGTTTCCAAAATAATGGTGCAAAAAGTCACTCTGTAATTGATCTAACTACATATGCAGCAAAATAGCCATAATAAAGGGGCTCGAAAAGAGCAATAAACACTCATTTGTGAGCATAAAGACAACAAAACTATAAATATTAACACAAAAACACTTACTTGTATGAAATAGGGAAATCATCTGTACTAATTAAGCCCAAGGATGGTCGAAATTCAGGATCGTTTGGTTGTCGTGTGGTGCCTTTCATACCACAGACCATCTTATCAGTGTCTGGAATAACTTCTAATACTTCACAGCAAACTGAATCATTCATCATGTAACTGCGTGTTACACCTTTTCGATCAACTGCAGGAATAACATTTGCAACAGAGCAGAAAGCCTAAACGTACAAAAAAAAAGTAATTAAATGAAAAACAAAACTTAAATTAAGCACAAACCTTTACATTTATGTCAGCAACATAACGAGTACTGTTCCCCTTACTAACAGTACACAGCACTTTTAACATCATTCCTGATTGAGTCTTGCTCACGATAGTTCCTAGAATCAAATCTCCAATCTTAACTTTCTGCAACAGATAGAAACCTTAATTAAAATTTTGGCACAACAACAACAACCATGAGTGTAAACACACACATATATATATTTATAAAACAGTTCTTTAACATACCTCAAAGAAATACTTTAATCTGCTTTGTTTGTCAACATTTAGAAATGTTTCAAAAGGTGGTAAAATTGCATATAAATCTTCAGAAACCGGTGTCTCTTCAGAAGGCTGTTTTCGTTGCAGAGCTTCATGGGAATACAATAAATTAGATTGTTTTACAATAAATTGCTGAAGCTTCAATCTCTTCCCACGGTCCTGAAATGACAGGTACTTCTGCCTGTGGCCGTAAACTTGAAAGTTTAGGTCTTTAACATTATGCTTCAGTAAATCTTGCTCTCCCCGCTCGGCTTCCCAAATTTTTTGTAACTGTTGTCCATGATAATTCAGAACTTGGGTTAAAAGTTCTGAATTCAACGACTCCATCTTGAAAGGTCGCCAGCCAAATGAAACGGCCTCGACAGTAATTATCACTGTTGTGTACAAATCTATCACAAAAATCACAACTGAATATGCATACACTATTATTTTAATTATACACAATTTATTAATTATATAATTATGTTTATTTTACGATTTCGTCTTTCCCTCTTACAACATGGCGTCTCATGTTTAATCAACACGCCGGTCGATGAAAAAATGAAATAAGGCAAGTGCTCAACTGCTACAGTTTTGGCATATTTTAAAACCAATCCTACAATTAAAGGAATTCAAACTTACCCTATTTGTATTTTTTATGTAAAATTATCCACTTCAAATCGAATATTTGCAATTTTGTAATGTTCAATACACTACGCCATCACTATCCACTCACCACCCAGTAATGCAAACCATCATAGGCAACCATCACCATCTAAACAAGTATCACCAATGCTATAAAAGTAAAATCACTGGTGTATTTCAAACTGGCGCAGTATTGCCAATGGCATTTACGAATATTTATTTATTTATAAATTTTAGAATACCATCAAAATGGAAATAAAAATGCTAAGTTTTATCAAAATTTAACATCATTAATTATTCTTCAAGAATGCACGATGATATCAACAAGTCTACAAAAAATAACGCTTTATTCCTTTATGTTAACAAAAAAGCTCTATATACAGTGGTTCACTTTTATAATTTGAATACAAGAATTGCTAAATTTTCCTAGTCTCAGTGGCTAACATAAAAAATTACATATTATATGAAAAAGTTCAAGTAGTAGAAATTACACACTTAATTTCAAATTTACAAGCCTTTAATGAATAAGGTAGCCCATTTATTTAGATTTTAAGTCTTTTTAAATTTCCTCTTAAATGTTATACAAATGTCACATTAGAATGTGATAATTATTTGGGAAATACCGTTTCTCTCTATACTATTATAAACTGTATGTATCGATAAATGAATAAATAAAACATTTCATTATTTTAACTGCTTTTTTATTCTTAAATATGCGTACCTACAACTACATTAGTTTATCAACAGCACACAATACATTTATTTTTTACATTTTGTCTGTGAAACACACTCCTTTAGTAGGTCCACTGTGATTTGGAATATCGATGTGAACAAAATGATCGGTGTAAATAAAGTTGATTCCTACTTCGTAATTAAGAATATCAACGAAATCTGGTTGTACAGATACAGCAAACGAATCTTCAGAGAAATGAATTTGCTTACTGTCCATTACTTTTCCATCAATCACCACTTTAAAATGTTCTCCATTATCACCAGCGGGGTATACCTCAATAGTTTTGCTTCCTTGAACAACTTTTAGAGCCTAAAAGAAGAAAAGGGTAAGAAAGATGAAATGGTTTCAAAAGGAATTGGTGCTTACAATCTTGTCTCCAACGTTTTTAGCGTAGAAACTTTGTTTGGGACCTATTTCAGTATGTTCTCCATAAAGAGTCCAGTCTTGAGTCAGATCATGATTTACAGTCATATTTTCATTGATCTTTACCGAATTGTGATAAATATGGCAGCTCCTTACAGCACCAATGGCATACATCATTTTATATAAACGCGACAACCGTAGGTTCGATGGTCTCAATCCAAAATACGTAACCATACTGAATGGCACCTCCAACAGAGAATGTTGGGGTTGAAGCATTGCGTCATGGGGCTGCCTGTGATCAAGGAAATAGTCGAACAAAGGATAGCTATCTATTTCTTCAACTTGTCCTGTCACGTATTCTCCATGAATTGGATAATCCACATGAACCTTGACGGTATTTTGGTCGACGTAATCTTTTTTAATTTCTCCATTGAATTTGAAAATTGAGAAGCTCATTTCGAGAGCTTTTGTAAGGGTATCGTTAACAAATTCTGGTACGTTTTGGTGTTTAATGGTGTACATGTAATCGGTGACTGCATCGATTTGAGAAGCACATTCCATATAATAATTGGGGAAGTAACTCTTCGGGTAGGTTAACATGTAAGGAATACATTCTCCGTATTCTTCTACTGTAGCAAGGTGTTCCTCAGACTTTTTGCCTTCCATCATAACGTCCAAAATAACATCATCTTTAGTGGATTCCGTATCAGGGGAATGTTTAACAGCAACAGTCATTCGACCTGTGTCCCTGTCATCGATGTATTTTCTACTACCATCGACGCTAAATATTTTAGTACCAACTTCGGGATCTTGGTACGAAACTTGCATTTTGTAGCTGTTAATTTTATGCCCCGGTTTCATGTCAATTCTGGAATCTACGACCAGTGATTTTATGGGTGCTCCTTCCACAGATTTAACCACATACGACCCATGAAGCGTCATTTTGACGCCCGGTAAGGTTACCATTGTATCGTGGGCCACTTCTCGTTCATAACGTAAGTTAAGTTCCGCGTCGGATACTGGTGCAATTTTGCTGGGAATGGCTCTCATGATGTAACCGTTGGTAAGTGGCATGGGATGGAATGAATAGAAAGATCGCAAGTGGGAATGAGACAAAAACATATGACCAAATATCGTCATGAAGTGTTTATTATCAGTTCTGAATAGATAATCCTTTAAGTCTTTCAAAGTTGGATTGCCTATTTCATTGTCGAATGACAGCATTTGTGTCCTGTAACCGAAGTTGTTACATTCGTGATCCACTATGGTATACTATAAATGAAAATAAACAATGTAATAAGTAAATAATTCGTTTATTTATCAAAAGACTCACGTTCTTCTTGGTCACTTTGGTGACTTCAACCCAGGGTTGACAGAACTCACACGATTTTTCCAGAATTCCATGTTTAAAATCATCCTTAACATAAACCATTGTCATAGCATGACTCCTAATGCCAATTGTGTCCCTATTGTCATCGTTGTATCTCTTGAAGTTAATTCGAATGCTCTTAGTTGTTACGTCAGCGTCGATATAAATCGGATAAGCCAAATCCATTGAGTGAAGTCTAGTGACTCCTTGCCAAACATCCCCAAATGGATTGTAGAAGGTCATTTCGTTCCAAGAATGGCTCCAGTGTTTGTAGTAATTGTTCACATTCATTTCATTACGCGCCTTCGTTATATTTATTGTGGAATATTTAACGCTTGGAACGTATGTTTCAATCTTTGCGGGGAAACCAATGTCGTTAGGAAGTAACGTTACCCTGTAGTACTCATAGTTAATATCTATAAACTTTTTGATAATTGAATCCTGGAACCATAACTGAATCATCCATGACAAATCATTTAGATTGTTTCCATCAACCATGGCCATGTGTATTATCTGAGTATGCCGAAGGACGGCAAGTTCGATCTTTAAGTTACTGTTGGATTTAATGCCCTTCGATAACATTTTGAAGGCCATTTCAGGATTCAGAAGGTACTCAGTGCTTTTGTGTTCTAAGAACAGCTTCTTTATGTCAGGATCTTCAAGACCATGCACTCTTATCATGAATGTCAAGGGATTGTAGAGATTGTTCATTACTTCGGTTTTGTAGGAGAATACCATTGTGTGAATATCTTCACTGGAAACATACATCATCTCATAGTCTTCTCCAAAATTGTATTTTTTGTCGAAATAATTCATTTTGTAGAAACCTTCGAATCCGTTATAGCTGGGCGGCTTTGTATATTTCAATATGGCGGCAGCGTGTTCTTTTTGGATATAATGGCACGCATCTGTTGTTAGGGACATAGCCTTTATGTAATCATAATGGAACTTGTAGAGCTGATGGTTTGTTTCCGATTGCATGAACCAGTAAATGTTAAACATGAGAGACATGGGAGGATGAGTTTCCATAATTGCAAAATAAGCAGCCATTCGGATATCGACAGGAAGTGTGCGATCAGTAAATACTGGCCAGTAAAGAGAAAAAACAGTTTCGCGATTTTGGACAACCTCTCCATAGATTGTAGCCAGAACTGGATAAATTTTCATGGATCCAGTAAAGAGATTTTTTTCATCTTTTATTAATGGTTTAAGGTAATTAAGGGCGTAGTTTAACTTGGTATTATAAAGAGCACCCATCATCACCGTTCTCATTTGAATATCTGACGATTTTTCCATTTTTTCTGCCATTTCTTTAATAATGTTTACGTACATGGGATTTTCTTCAAGGAATTGCATATCCATTTCCTTTTCAAGTTCTGACATAGAATGCTTGCCATGAGTATTTTCTTTGTGGTCCATTTTTTTATCGTAGGCAAAGTAATGGATTTGTTTTTCTAAATTATAGACTTTGTGGAAAAGCGTAGCGAAGGAAAGAATGGCCGCTTTACGTATATTGTAACTTACACTATTAGGCCAAGACATCATGTCTTTTGTGTCTTCCAAAATTTTTACGTTCGGTGTTTTGACATTGAACGGGAGTTTGTAAAGCATTTCCATTGCCATGTATTCTTTGACTTTATTTTTTTCAATCAAATCTTTAGTGAAAATAATGGAGGCGCGAGTTCCGACAAGTGGAAGAATTTGTTGGAAGATTTCCATCATCTGCTTGTCGTGTTCGCTAGTTTTTTGAATCAAAGTTGAATAGACTTCTTCAAAATCGGCATATTTAAGGTAAAGCATAAAACGGACAATTCTGTTTATCATTTGACCGTGGAGAACATCAGGTACTTCCGGAATAATCTGATTTCTGTTCAAATACTTGATAACATCTTCGAACATGGTGTACAATGTGGGCAAGAGACTTTTCACATTCATTTGCCTTCGTCCAAGGAAAATGTCCGGCATATTTTCATATTCTTCATCAGCTGTATACAAAGTGTATCCTATGGTCTTGTCGGTGTGACCGTTTTCGACTTCCATGGGTTTTTCGATCGGCTTCATTTGCTCCAAGTTAAATGTCTGATTGGAAAACATCATCTGTGTGTTAGACCGTGCACTAAATGGAAAACTCTCGAAACGTCCAAAGGCATGAATGGTTTGCACAATGCGTTGACCATCGGTATTTTTAACGTAATAAGTCCTATGCATGTCGTGGTGGAAAGGATGTTCGGGAACAACCTCGCAATATTCGGGTTCTACGTTGCTCAACGTGAACGGGAACATATGGTTCATGGTTTGCATTGAATGGGCCTTATGAATGACCACAAGGGAGTCCATTGGTACAACATTATAATGCATTTTGTGTACTCCATAGATTGATGGTTCCATGACGGTGAAGGAGTGATGGTTTGCAAAGGAAACTTTGTGGATGTCCATCTGGAATATGGAGGCTACTGCTTTTTTCATGTTTTTCACATAATCCTTCTCGCCTGTCATTGTGACAATGGTATCGACGACGCCATCGGAATCGTAGTTAATTTGGAAAGGTTTGTACAAATCGTGCATTTCCTCGGGTAGAGGTTGCCCTTTTGTGTTGGCATAATAATTGTGATAAGCCTCGCCGTTATACATATAGAATTTTAAGTCAGAGAAACGAACTTTGATTCCATTATCGATTGGTTGGATGTGAATTTTTCCTTGAAGGTACAGATCCGAAGAAAACGACGTAGGTATTTCGGTTCCGGACTGTACAATTGCTGAATAATTGTACACCAACTCATTGTTTTTGGGTACAAAAATCGTGAATGCGTTACATAACGCTAACGCTGATAACACTGCAAACAAATTTTTAATTCGTATTTTCCGTATTGCATGTACGCTTAACAGTTAAAAGTATGATAAACATATTGTCGCGGCTTTTTCACATTCTGAACATCATACCCTTAATAAATTAAACGTGTTGTTATTGAAACGAAACCTTATTTACTTATATTTTTGAACACCCCATATTGCAAATTAAATTTAGCTGTTGCAGACGATCTTATATTCAAAATAGGGAACGAGTTTTCTTTGAAAAATATTTTGGTCAAACTTGTAGTTCGGACACAATGAGCATATTGCCAACATTTTGAATAATAGTGATTACAAATAAACACATATCTATAATTTATTTACAAATTGTAAACATTTTATCTTTATTTATACGACAAACTTTGGGATGTTATTCTTCTTTTTTCTCATAGTAACATAAATATGTTATCACAGATAATAATGCATTACAAACATCAGAAGAAAGAAAATATATTAGCAGACATATTGGCACCAGCCAAGCGTCTGTTTCATTAACATTTATCAAAAAATGTCGCACATTTTTATCTCATTTTCAAATCGTAATTTAGTCACTTGCCGAAAAAATTTTAGTTGTATTTTTTTTAAGTGGCTTAGTGGCTTAATAAAAATACCAGTACGTATGAATATTATTCACTTAATCAGCGTTTGATTTACTAAAAATGGAACAATTTTATTTAATTTACAATTAGATATCATTGTCTTAATTATTAAATATAATTAGGTAATATTTAAAAAAAAATATTTTTAATCGACAATAACCTTTCGAATTGTTTGAATAATGTCATATTTTTGCCGTTTATTTTTATTTACTGTAGGAAGTTTTTGTCTTAATTAGATAATACAAAAAGATAAAAAACCTTACTAAACCAGATTATCATTGTTTAAGCAAAAAAATAATTAAAAAAAATAAATTTAAGAATTAAACTTCAGAATAAATACATCTATAATTATTTTCCTACGTACACCTTTGCAAATTAATAAAAATAAATTCGTCTGTGTTCTGAATGTTTTATTTTATTAAGTAAATTCAAAATGCTTCATCAAGAGCTCACATAAGTAAAAATCGATTTAAATAAAGGCAGCAGGAAGAAATAATATTTAGATCGAATGAGATAAATTAAACTATTATTAATATTGAAAATAAAACACTAATTTGTGAATTTCAACAGGTATTTACTTTTACGTGACAATTGTTTGGGCTCCTTCATGTTTATAATTGAAAATAACTTAAAGTTCACAGATTTATTTTGTAAGGGTTGGGACAAGAAATATCATCAGCGATGGGGGAGATACCTAATATTCGTTCATTATTATAACTGTTTTTAAATTAATTAATTTCTAATATTGGCAGTTTGTAGCTTTTAAATTCTACATGTAATGTATTAAAATCTTCATTAAATTCATGATGTTTGAAATGCAGATTGTTGGCAGAATTTCAATCAGTTTTTTTACGCATAACAATAGGATCCATTGTGTTAAAATATTGAAAAAATTAATAGGAATTTTAAGACCGAAATAAACGAACACAAAAGACCATAATGTTATAAGATGGACTGATTGAAATAAGAATTCAATGAAAAGCTTAAAACATTCCCTGTAGAAAATAATACCTATGAAATGTTACTTTTAAAAGTATTAGAAATTATTATGTCTAAATAGTGCTAGATAAGTCACTTCCAATAGTATATAAGTTAGTGTGTAAACATTTTAGGTGAAAGTTACTTATTAACTTACAAAGAAGCCAAAGACTGTAGTAAAATTAAAAATCTGTTAAGATTTACAGATCAGTATTTTATTTTCAGTATTTAAAATGGATTTTAACCAAGTAACAGTAGACTTTATCTCATAAATTTACTAATTGTTAACTCTCAAATTGCATACATTTAAGAAAACTTCGTTGTTTCTTAGTAGGTATTGGATCAGAAGAAGCAGAAGCCAAAGTTGATCGAAACTTTCACAACCAAAAGATAAATTAGACTTGTATTTGTATAAAAAACTAAAACTCAAAATTCTTCATAAAAACGTTTAAAAAATCTAAACGCATTTCGGGTGCCAAATTGTTTTTCTCTGTTAGGTTTTTTAAACGGTTTTATAGGGAATTACATGAATAACGACATTAGTAAGTAAGGGGTTTCTCGTATTTTTTGTTATTTAAAAGCTTATCTATTTTTAACAAGTTTCAAATGTAGTAAAAGTAATCCACAAAGGATAATAGATAATCTTATAAAATTAAAAGAAACAGCAAGTAAAAATTTCAAAAAATATGCAATAAAGTATCCTTCTTTTGTACAAAAGACAAAACAGCATTAAAAAGATTGAAAAATTATAAAAACCCATTAGTACATACCCAAAGAAAGACTAACGCGGAGTTTCGCCATGTTCAGCCCCAACTGCTAAAGAATTCCACAAACGCCAATATTTATAAGGCCGCGATCATTATTTTCGTGTTTACCATAATCAGTTATCTCGGCTACTTGTACAATTAAATTTGTTTTCACAACTTTCAGTTTTTAAACAATAAAACAGATTGAACGTCACCTCCGACCCAGGCAAAGATTAATATAATAATTTTGATTAAACAAAAGTATTTGTAAGGTGATATTGCCACTACATTCAGTCAAGGTGTGAATGTACTTTTATTAATAAAATTTTCAGCTATTTATATAAAAAATGTTGTCAATTTTAAAAGAAAAAACAAAATAAAATCAATTGTATTACTCTTAATTACGATTAGCTTTTCTGATATTTCTATCAACCCGGATTTTTACAAATGGGGTTATTGTAATATACATAATGTGTGGTTGACCTTTCTGTACGCCATATTTGTTTATTTGTATACATCAGTTATTATAATGTAATTACTCCAACACAAAGAAATTTTTATTTAATTGTGTTGTTTGTATGATATCATCGCACATTCTATCAACTTATTTTTTGTTTTTTCTTAAATTAGAAACAATCAGTAGCGCAGCCACGAGAGGGGTTGTTTGAAAGTTCAACCCCTCCCCCCTAACAACTAGTAGATTTTCTTTCAAGCTACAGACATAGCTTGCAAAGCTAATTCTACTGCATTCATTCAATTTTTTGGAATAATTAACAAGTTATTACTTAAATGCAAATAAAGCAAAATAACCACCCTACTACATCCGTTTTATTTTTTAAAGTAATCTATAAGTAAAAGGCAGCAATACGCAGATACAAAGGGAAGAAATGATTAATAATTTAACATGGACTATTCAAGCAACTTAAGGGGTGGAAAATGTTTAATTCAGTATATAATCACACCTGGTTTCGCTTTATGGGGTTAAAGCTTCTTCAGGGTTCAATGGATTTTTGTACTATCTATACTTTCTGCAAGTCTGAGATCATTTATATTTGATCTGTATAATCTACCCTGAAAAAACTTAAACCCCATAAAGCGACACATTGGTGAGATTATATATTAAATAAGACATCTTACATTCCTTAAATTGCTTGAATAGTCCATGTTGATAAATATTACGGGAGGAAATACGGTGGTTAATAATTATTCAAATACCTATTTCGGTAACTATTTTAAAAGGCGTGGAGAATGTTTGAAAAGTTTGTATGGGACAAATTTTATTTCTGGTCGGATTTACTCGAAATTTGGTCATATAGCCCATGGATTCAATCAAACAAATACGCATTTTGGCAATTTTTAAGATTCAACAAGAATGGGGTTGCTACGCTTGTACTAAACGGTTCCTTGATTAGGTATAATAACTTATACATAATTGGGGGTTTCGGCATTTTTTACCTTGACCCTTGGCCCTTTCACAAATATCCCACAGCTACGCCAATGAAAGTTTATCATATTTCATTATGAATATTTCCCAATTATACAATATTAGTTAGCAACAGAATTCACGTATTGTACATACCCACCTATTTATAATAAGAAGCAATTGTTCATACATAAACATATGATTTAAAAGTTGTTGATAAGAATTTGTCCTAAACAGCTAAAAATGACCAATTTTTTTATTATCTGAAATATGTACATACATATAACGTTCTAAATATCGCATTCAACAAAATATTAAATAAGTAATGTAGTTAATGGATTATACTTTTCAAACGGGGTCATGCCGAATAAATTAAACACAAATTATATAAGTACAAAGTAGTTATCAAAAATAACAAAAAATTAAGCATAAAGCAGGAGAGGTATTTTCAGAATTTAATAAACCTTTCCCGGACTACAAGTTGTTTAACTAATTACCTACTTTAAAAATTTAATTTTTTAATAAAGAAATCAAAATAGCTATTAATTATGGATTCTTTGGATACCCATTCGTCCTAGGGTTCTGGACTAAAATGAAAAAATTGTCACAAATATGCATNTATTAATTTCTACAATATTAAATACTTTCGTTCTTAGAGGTGAACGCCTCTTTCTCTTTTACGAATGTAATCGGTATAAGACGTTAATAAGTCATCCATTTTGTAACCTTGCGACGTTTCGCATAATATTTTAGTGGCCCTCATCATACTTCCCACAGTTAAGTGGAAATATGTGTTACCAGAAGACCAGTTGTACAATTCCGAAAATCCGTAAGTTACCAAAATATCCTAAAAGGAAATAAGGGTATAGTACATAGAAATAACCCCAAATGATAATGATAAGAAGAAATAAGGTCCATTTTTGTACCAAAAAATGATTGTCCCTTTACTTTTTTAAGTATGGTCTTCATTATTTTCACAACTTCAAAAATCATCTTTTCTTTTACAGAAATCAATCTCTGTATGAAGATTTTAAAAAAATTTATTTCTTTCCAAAAAGAAAACAACTTACCTTTGTTTGGGGGTGAATTATGTTTACTCCCTTTTTATTAATGGCGATTATAACAATTTCTGGATATGTAGGTTCGGTTGTCTGTTTTACTTCGAAGAATGTTGAACCGAACGTGGGCCATTGGAAGACAATCTCCAAAAATTTGCTCTTAGCTTCGGACGGTGACATAAAACTGATCTTTTGATAAGCGTTTAGAATGCTCTTTTTCCAATCGGAAGTGCTTTGGGCTTTGATCATATCGTTTGGTACGAGCCCCTTAATGATATTGGAAAAGTTCGAAAAAGCACCAACGTTTTCGTTGTATTTCACTTTAAATATCAGCGCGGCAAGTTGGATTGCGTCATGTTTAGTACATTTATGGTATCCGCGTAAGAATTTTGGCACTTCTTGGTGGAAGTGGAAGATTTGGTCTGCATTTATGTCTTGACCAGGAATTGTATTTATCCATAACTTTTTCATAAAGTAAACGTGATATTGGGCATTTACTGGAAGTGCACCTAGAAGATGTAATTAGAAAAATTGAGCAGGGAAGTTATACCAATAATTAATTTTTGTGGATTTCAGAAATGATTGAAATATGGAGGTGTGTTGTGTAATTGGTGCAACCTTAAGGTAGATTACTTTTAAGAAAATGGTAAAATACTATACGGAATTTTAAAGAAATGGACCAGAAGATAAAACTACAGTTGATTTTGCTTGTATCTATAAAATTCTTCGCTATTACCAAAAATATAGATAATTATTACCGTTTTATGTACTTATACAATATAAAATAGAGGAATGCATGTTTGCATAAAAAACGTTATCAGTTATGCTTCAATTTAACATAAGTTCCGTACTTGGCGATAATTTATTTAATTTATCATATTGTGATGAGTTTGGATATCTTCGTTTTTCAGACGATTTATCTGTACAAAGGTGTGTAAAAAACACGCATGGCGTTAATAATAGAGTGTTTCAATTCAACTTGAGATTAGAAATTTTTCTGTTTTTTCTTCCGCTTTGTATTGTGTCAAGTGTTATCATACTTAAAGTTGTTTACTTACTGTTCCAACTGGGCATAGTCTGTTTGAACCAATCGAGAAGTTCGTGTAAAAAGTCATAAAAGAAGTACTCTTCCGGTATAGAGAACACCCTGTCCGTCATAATAATAAACAAACTAAAACCGTCATAATCGTTCAGTTCAAGTCTATCTACAATAGCAGCACAAAGATCGGAAGCTTTGGTATGCGAATCGATTTCGAAAGCTTCGTCCGTGTCATCCGGGAAGTAAATCTTGTGATAGATTTGCATACTTCGACGCTGTATGGCATCGACTTCGATTGAATGGGGTGGGAATCGTCTTGTACCAACTTTCTGAGTTCTTTGAAGCCTCTGGAGACAAGGCTGCGCCAACGGATGAATTCTGGTTTTGAGGAACTTTTGAAGTTCGATCATCAACGAAGTACTGCATATGAAGAGTCCTGTGGCCAGATACAACAATTCCCAGCCCTTTTCTTCGCTTCTGGACAATCTGTTATATGTTAGCTGTTTCATGATCTGGCAGTAGATTTCATCCTTTAGCATGTCATTTCTGAGGGCCCCGGAGAAGATCTCGTCTGTGTATTCGTTACTGACTTTTGCTTTCGGTGCTGGAAGGTCACCCATGTATTTTAAGATGGCGGTGAAAGCTTTGCAAGCTTCTTTGCATTCGTTTTCGTGCGGCAGTAATTTTTCTAATAGCGGTTGATGCAAGGGTTCGTTGGTAAACTTCCACAGTTCTTCCCTGGAGCTCCTTGCCGTTGCCAGAACGGAAATTCTCCTGTTGCTGGCTAGTTTTTTACCAGATCTGAAGTGTTCGTTTGCATAATGCGCTAAGGTGTGCATCTTCAGTCGTTGGATGGTACTGATAACGGACACTGAAGTTTGCTGCTCTTCAAATGCACCCTCTTTCTTAAATGTTTTTAGAAGGTGTGAAGAAGGTTCAGTTATGGCAGGCAAAATTTGTACATTCTCTGTGGGGAAGTCACCTGTTTTTCCTCCTGATTCTCCATAGCCCCATGTGGTTGACATAATGGCTTCTCCTGTGAGGTTGTTCTTGAGAACTATGAGGTCTCCCTTCTTGAATGTCAAGAATGATGCTGCCCCTGTCGGATGTTTGTAATCCTGAGTCGCTACGCAGTAGATGGAACGTTTTTTCAAGCCGTCGAGAAGATATATGATGATGTTGCTCAGATTCTCGGCGTCTGGACTTTGGAAGACGTACTCTTCGTTCCGAATCGTTTTAAGGGTGAAATTGTGAAGTTGCGATCGACTGTTTTGCTCAAATCCTATGTACGTCACTTCGGTAAATGTTAACTCCAGAAGAATTTGTTCTTGGTCGTCTATCATGTAAATACCCGTCCAATTTACCGCTATGATCATGTTCTTTTTGGGTAATTCCGGGCCTGATTTTTGTATAGCTTCGTAAAATTTAGAGAATAGTATTGGCCATGTAACTTTCGAATAGTTTACTATATCCTCTTTGACTTTTATAATCGGTGTTCTTTTTTTGACGAACGCATTTTTGCTAAATGCTTCTTGTAATTTTTTAACCCAAATCTGGAAAATTTTCATTTTTCTTTAAGAATTTAAGACAATAATGATTTTTTTGTAACTGATTTCTTAGGATTTCTTACCGAAATGGGCAATCATTCGGAAATTTTTTTAAAAGAAGACATTCATCTCCATCTTAATAAACACTTACCTCAAGGCTTTCTCCAGGCTTTATCAAATAACTAGGAATATATTCCGAAATCCTGGACTCCAATACCTGAACGTCCATGTTGGGTCCATTGTCAATGTAATATTGTTGTGCCAAAATCTTTGTCACATCATTTTCAGTGTTACATCTGTATTCTCCATACCTTAACCCCCTTATGATCTGGTGGTAAATGAGATTAGTTGAAACAGTGTCCTTCGAAGGATCGTGCCACGGAGTGAAAATCTCCTTTCTGAAGAACAGCCTCCAAGAAGCCGATCGTTCAGATTTTCCTTGTTCTTTAGCATACTGTTCACACTGAGAGATCGCGTCCATGATGTGGTCGTGTTCACTACCAAGAGACATGACTTTATCGTACAAAGTTATGAACAACGAAAATCCGAATTTGTCTTTCAAATTCAAGCTGTTTGCGATGCTTTCGCAAACTTCTTCCGAAGTGGTAGCCGAATCGACTTCTATATTCCTGGAAGAGCCGTCCATGAATGTCACCACCAAATTGATTGGATTTTTGTTCTTGACGGCTTGCAGTTCTAACCAGCTGGGGGGTTGCGTTCGAGGCCCGTTCTTAAACGTTCTGTTAAGTCTTCCTTCACAGTACGGAGCGTAACCTGGGGGACCGTCCCTGATAAAGGCACGCAAGTAATTAACGAAGCGGGGCGATGGAGGGAAGCAACCGACACACAAAGAGAGTAATATCCAACCTCGGGCATGTGATGCTTTCGAAGGATTGTTCGTTAATTGTTTACAAATTTGGCAGAAGATTTCGTCTCTATAAAAATAATATAATGATAAGCGGCATAGAAATCTTGGTTCACAACTATTTACCTAAGTTCAGGTCTTAATATTCCGTGGCCCAAAATAAAGTGTAATTTTTCCATGTTCGTCGACCGTTTCTCATACAACCATTCCTTGTAACTATCGGCAGTATAATTGTCTTCTACCAAGCCCCGTTTAACGTCTTCCAACAATTTACTTTTGTGTTTAAGGGTCATGTTTATTAATTTATGTCTATCTTTCTTACTAGATTTTTCCATCCACAGCTTTTCTTGTTCCATAAGTTCCTACAAATCCCCAGGAAACTGTGTACAAAGACCGTATGGTTTTAAAGCACTTTTTGTTACCTTAAATTCTTTGCGATTGGTAAAGCTACGACTTAACGTTTGGCTTAACTTGGTCATTATATTTTCTCTGGTTGTCTCTTGAGTTTCGAACTTGGGTTCGGCCAAATCTCCCATGAAACGCAAAATGGTAATCCACAAAGCTTGGGCAGCTATGATATCGTCAGGAGTTGGTAAATCCAATAAAGATTCTTTGAGAGGTTTCTTCGAATACTGCGGATTGGTATTTTTAACAAAGTAAGTGGCAGCGAATTTGCGGAAATTATACGCCGAAAGATCTTCTTCAGCTTCTTCGTCTTGGTCGCCATTCAGAATCTCTTGTTTGCCTTCCTTTTGGAGAAGTTGCTAAGAAATTTCGGTGTTATATTTTTAGTTCTTAATGTGATAAGAGTAACAAATCGTAATAGGTCTCTCCTCGATAAAATAAAATTAAACAGCCGGGATAACGATTATTACCTGATGGTTGCACTCGACTAAAATCAAAACTATAACACTCATACTCTTCAAAATGAATTCAGTTTTTTGCACAAAACATGACAAAAAATAATAAACAAATATAATTTGCATCTTTAGATACCAAACCGCAACGAGTATTAAAACGGATTATAATATCGTAAAAATCTTACAAGTTTGTCGCATACACTTAATTTGCAGATTAGCAATGCATTTTATTGCCTAAAAGTCGGTTATTGTGAAGGTCCAAAAGTGAAAAGGCAGATTAGATAGATATATCTACATGTATCTCAACATATCTCAACAGTAAGCAAATAAACCTACACTTTCACATCATGATACAATGCAACTGTATTATTTAATGTTCAGCGGAATGTAAACTTAAAGAAAGTGTCGAACTATCGAAAAAGATAAGGTAAAAAGACTTCCTATAAATAATTTTTTATGTTCAGCTTGATGATCGCAGTCTCTTAGACAAGAACGCCGAAGTGGTCTTTTATACGACGTTGAGTTATTGAGATTCTCTAAAGATGCTAGTTACAGTAGTTGGAGAAATATTAGATAAAAGAGTCCATCCTAAACTAAGACCATCAAGCGCGTATATCAAATGGGTTTCCGAAAATCGAAAATAATTGAAATCTTCGGATGTATGATAATGCTTACCATAAACGCTTCAGATTCTTTGATATCGCTAGCAGAAGCCACAGAGCTGGTGTCATTTATAAAGTTGAATAGATCATCAACAATCTTATCCGCATTAGCACTTTCCTCTTCTTTCGCTTTATTTACTAACAACTGATTACCAAGTTCGATCATGCGTTTTTGGAAATTAGCTTCAGCGTTCTTCTGGAAGTTCTTATCTCCTTTGGCCTTCAACTCCTTCTCTTCCAGCCGTCTCTTCTGAACGACCGAATAAATCTTTCCGAATCTTCCATATTTCCTAGCAACGTATCCTTTACACAAAGGTTGAAGTTTGTGTATAACCTCTCGGGATTTCTGGAATTCTTTCTTCAGCACTCGGGATCTTATTATGGCCTGTAGTCTCTGGTAGCCATTTCTCATAATCAAATATTTCGTCCTGTAACCCCGAGCTCGCCAGTGTTTCTGTATGACAATCGCGGCCTGGCGAAGTTTCTGGAATCGTCTTCGATAGATCCAACCCCTTATTGCCCTTTGAAGGACCACAACGTACTTGGAGAAGACCCTGTCCCTTTCTTGTTCTAAAAATTCCCCGTCTGCTTCTTTTAAAAAGACCCTGCTATGTCCCATCTGGTAATCTTCGCCGCTGGTAAAGACCAAGCTGCATATCAATTTTGTAGCTTCTTTGCAATCAGTTTTGTGTGCTGGAGGAATTTTCGTACCCAGATGACGAAACCTTCCTACGAATTCACTGTAAGAGTAGCGAATTGGATACCCAGCTTTTCGTATCTTTGCCGTTTCCATAAGACCTGAATATCTTAATTGACGACAGCACAACGATCTGTCGAAAATCTAAAACGTTCCAACAGTTTTCTTATTTATGGAACACAAACGCATCTGTTAATAATATTCTTACCAAAGGTGCTTTATTTTCGTTGGGTTTTATACATCGTATAAAAAAAGGATGGCATTCGGTAAGAGCTTTCATTAATTGGTCTAATGAAGATCGAAATTGAGCTGATAAGGTAACTATTCGTTTTCCTCCGTTATCTTGAGTGAGCTCGTCCGAAAAAATGTGCTTCAAGAAACTATTTGAAGATGTTACAATAATGTTTTTTAAATCCTGACTAAAAGTATCTCGATTTTTGTCAAGAAATCCTAAAACGATCGCATAAAAAAACATTTTGTAACTCCTTTAGATGATTTTTATTTACCTGCTACGTTATAATTTACCGGGCCAGCGAAATGTTTTATTCCAAATGCGGGAATATGGTCGGATTTAGGTTTTAAATAGTTTTCGTTAGCCTTATGATTGGAATGTAATTTTGTGAGTAAAGTTAAATCAGTTCCTTTAGGAAATTTTGTTTCTTCATCGATTAAAGATAAAATGTTCATTGGTTTCATCCCTATCATATCTAAAACTACCTGGTTATCGACGAACGAAATTTTTTGCCAACTTATCCCTTCTTTTGTGTAATATTCCTGTTCCATTTTGAATATATGATGAACAAAGAACTGTTGTAAATTTTCATTAGCATAGTTAATACACATTTGCTCAAAACTATTAACATCGAATTTTTCAAAGCCGAAAATATCCAAAACTCCTATTGACGATTTGATCGATTTTTTCGCCTGATCGATAGCTTCGTTTATTTTATCGATTATTTTAATAAACAATTTCCCGTAAAGACCTTTTACAAACGCATCTCTGCACTGTAAAGCCTGTTCTTTATTATAATTGGAAATTACTTTTTCACCGTGTATTACGATACTCCTTTTAGTCAGCGCAACATTTAATTCTGACTTATTGGCACCTAACATTTGCGATACTTTTCCTAGTAAACTTGAGTCAGTGATTTCGGAGCTTTCCATATTATTCACGGTCACCGCTTTGACCTTAACGTTACCTAAGTGTAAAGAAGCCGCAAGAAGCTGGAAGATGTTCCAAGTTTCGTCCTCTTTGAAATTAAGGACTTTCATTGCGGCCTTTATGTCAGCGAAAGCTGTTACTTCATTTCTACCAGTGCAACTTAATGTATCACCCCCTGTTAAATAATTATAATCGCTGGCATCGCCAAGATCTAATTGTTTTTTCTCATCCTTAGTTAATCCTGCCAACATGCTGTAGAAAATGTGGTAATTTCTTTCACCCTGACTCTGTGAAACTATACGACTTTTTTCTAAAAGATACTGAGTGATTTTCGCACTTTCTATACTGCCCTGTTTGTTGAAATTAATATTAATGTATTTTCCGAAACGCGACGAATTGTCGTTTCTTATGGTTTTAGCATTTCCGAAAGCCTCCATGAGGGGGTTTGACTCTAAAATTTGCTGTTCTATCCAAGAATGTTGTCCACTAACTGTTGCTAAATATTGAAGGATTAGCTTCGTACTCTCTGTTTTACCAGCACCACTTTCTCCACTAAAATCAGTTTTAGACAAAAAGCATTCTTTGTTTTTGAATTTTAAGAATGTATTTATAATGGAAAATAGAAAAAGGGACAAAACTAAAGCAAAAAAGACATGCTCACAATAATTAAAAGTATTGTAGCTAATTGGGGTGAGTTCTTTTTGTTTTAGTTACATATGTGATTACCATTTATACGGGGTGTCTCAAAATATAGTTTCGTAAGAGAAATAGGGAGGTATAAAACGTTATGGTGCACAAGAAACATTCTCATATGTGCAGGTAAGTGATTTTTGGTCATTTGACTATTTTTCTTGGACATTTTATCAAACAAGATAAGTAATATTGTACATACTATTTAATTTTAACACTACTTCAGAATTGTTAGATATTTCTTAGCATAAGATTTACGCATAACTTTATTTTGTAAGACACCCTGTATATTATGAATTTACTTTTGATGTTAAATGCATGACGTAAAGCATTTTACAGCTAAATATACCTAATGACTATACACTGATCTTTATTTGTTTTCCTCATGTCGTTATAACTTCCATCCCCAATAGCAAAAATATGGGGTGGTAAGGACCCAATTTCCTTATTCCTGTACATATTAACTTCATTGTTAGTGTAGATGGGCAAAATCTCGTATGGATTGACAGCCACTAACATGGTCCCAGTATAAGTCTTATTATTGAAACAAAACAAATAGATTTACATATAGGGCCTACAGATTGGTTGTTTAACAACCCTTTTAAATTTTACGTACATAAATTAGTTTATTGATGTACCGTAGATGTAAGTTCCTTAGAATAGCATATTCTTGTAAATCGCCCAAATTAATCATGTCATCAACCCCTTCTATCGAGCTAACGTGCATGTTTTTGAGCAGGAGCTTCCTACCAACACACCTTTCTTTACCATCGACATCTTGGACGAGAACTTTAGTTGAGTCGATCGCCAAAACTTTGGCACCTGATGGTATATCAAACTCAGTTGTTGCTTCGGGATTCACCCATACGTAATCACCCTAAAATTAAACATCTCTGATGCCAATATCAAAAAAGAATGCAGTACTTTACATAAAAGACTAGGGTCGATAATAAAAGTATAATAAAGACTCCAATAACAGTAAGTCAGTTTAAAAATTTTCCTAAAAATATTTTCTATTAATTCATAACATTTAGGATCAGTCTAATATAGTTAAACTGCACAAAAACGTCATTCCCTAACTGGTGGGCTAGTTAGGGGCACATTGGACGCAGAAACAGGAATAAATAGAGCCAAAGGTGAAGACCTACATTAGATTACTGTTCGCAAATATTTACAGATGTAGGTTTGCTATAGTTTTCGAGAAATGCGAATTGACTCAAGATGATCTTCGAGTTATGGTGATTTTAAATTTTCATATTCCAATCGACCTTAATCCTATCAAATCGACTCGTAATCAACATTTCTAAATTTCCACAAAAAGTACCGTTATTATCCTCGCTAATAAAAATACATCACTTTATGTTTCATTGAGGCATAGATAATGAATTGAAGTTAGATTACATATACTTTATTGGCACCAAAAACAATTTAAACTTTCTGCGAGATTACGAGCCAGATAAAAAACAGTACATTTTTTTTGTACAAATTTATGGGTAGATATTATATGAATATAAGGCACTAAAATAAGTTCCTAATATTTTTAACCCCCCCCATAGTTTATTTTATATTGTCCCTATTATACAATATCATACATATTGTAAATTTTGAATCTACGAAAATTAACCCATTAAATATTGGTGTTTTACAAAAGTTTTAGTACAAAACTTACGATTCTAAAATTTGTTTGCGTTGCCATGTTTAGCACTTCTACATCACATTTTCGAATTAACACTAAATTAATGAAGATAATATTATAGAATGGTGGGACATGTTATGATATCATCCGCCCTCTTAACTATATTAAAATAAAAATCCTCAACTATCGCTCGATATGATTTACAATTCGGTTATCTTATCAATTATCTATAATTCATCGTCAGTGTTGATAGAAAATGTAATTGGTAAAAACTAAAACGGTTTTTAGTACATTCAATATTGAGACGGGTCAGTCTTATCGACTTTAAATAATAAATATTAGAAAATAAACAACACTCTGAAAGTTTGTAAAAGTAAAGAAAGTTTTTAAAGTATGCGTGGTTCTCAAAAACATTTAAAATTGAAACAATTCCTGTTTATAACTTTCACGTAATTGTAATTAATCTAACTGAATATATTTTGTTATCCCTCTTCAACGTTTTTCAATGATATTAAATAAATAACACATAAAGCAATGTTGTCTTGAAATTGGCAGAAACTTTCTAAACGAACCTTGTATTTTAATTTGATATACATGGTATAATCTAAATGTCGTAAACGTGTATTCTTGTTTAAATGTTTTAAACTTTATTTCTACAAAAAAGACTATTTTAAAGTCATTTATTTGGGATCTAGGTCAAAAATAAGCACTTGCTATTCAAAATGAACATGTTTCAAAAGGTAATAAGCTTCTATAACTTTTTAATAAAATTGAAACGCTCAAATTTTTAGACTAATCTTTTATTCGTTATTGATAAACATCTACATTTCATTTTAAGCTTATAATGTAGTTAATAAATAAAACTATACTCATTATATATAATTTTCTTTACAGTTAATAAAACCCTCCTTAGAAATCATTTCTCTTTAAGAAAATGATCTCTAACTTTATCTAAAGCTCTATAACGATGCGAAATTTTATTTTTTTCTGATTTGGGCATTTCTGCAAATGTTTCTTTATACCCTAAGGGTTGAAAGCATGGGTCCCAACCAAAGTCTCGGGGTCCTCTGGGTTGTACAATTTCACCTTCAGTTTTTCCCTGAAATAGCAGCACTTGGTCGTCAGGATTTCCAGGATGATAAGCAAATGTACAAACAGCCTCGGCACCCTTATTTTCAAAATTGCCCAGCATTCTGTACAGCCCCTCTGGCCCCAGTTTGTCGAGAAACCACTTTATGTAAGGGCCAGGCAAACCTTTTAAGGCATTGAAACATAAACATGTATCCTCCACTAAAACTGGTCCTTTGATTTGCCTGAAGGCCTCTTGACACTTTTTTGTACATATTTCCTCTATTTCCCCTTGTAACTCGGGAAGATCGGCCTTTTGAGCAACTATTTGTCTCGGGAATGTATTTCCCAAGATTGCTACTACTTCTTCGAGTTTTTTGGAATTTCCAGTTACAAAAGTTATCGGTTTAGTCATTTTCAGGACTAAAAGCCTTCAAAGTAAAGTTTATTTTCAAAATTTCGGCTTCGAAATTGTTAGGTTAACTTACATAACCTCAACCGATTAACAGTCAAAACTACCACAGATTGTGATAGACATGTACCACAGATCAATACATAATCACTTACTTGTAAAATAAAAATTATTATTTATAAAAAAGTAAAAGCAAATAATATAAACAATTTGTTGATCTAACATATTGAAATAAGTAATAACATTCAATACATACAACTTGTAAATCGTTGTAAATCAATTCGTTAGTGATGGGAATCCCCGAGGATTTCCAAATAAAGTAATCAGGAATACCCACAATAGCACAATTTTCAATTATATTTTTGCTATTATGTTTCTCGTTAATATCCACAAGGTTTGCTATATTATAAAAATTCAAATTAAGATATAGGAAAAATCAAACCAATCGAAAAGTTTCAAATCAGATATACAAATGTTTATTTAATTACAATTACAATAATATCCCATAAAAGACTAAAAGATAAGACTGGAAGTAAAAAATGATGTTGATAAAAAAATAAACATATATTAAAATACAACCTTAATA